ACTCTAAGCGGGCAGCACGAGCTGTGCACGGGTACGGAAGTCTGCTGGGCCAATCCCCAACAGGGAAGAGGGGAAAGGGTGGTGAGCAGGAAGCAGGCGCCATCTTTAGGGCATTGTCCAGCTAGAGTGGGGCTCAGCCTCGGCCGTAGGCTGGGCCCCCACAGTTAACCTCTCCAAGTCTTTGTTTTTTTCATCTGTGAAACAAGTATTATGATAGCACCCACTTTTTAGGTAGGATGGTAAGGATTAAATAGGAATGGTTCATATTAAGAATTTAGTATGGTACCTGGGCACATAGTAAGTTCTTAGAGAATATCGCTACAAATATTACCATCATTACTGTTTCCACAAATATGTAACCAGTCATTCCCATCCAGCATTGTATTAGTATATATGTGCCTATAGAGAGAGTGCAACAGGCGCACCAAGGAAACACTGAGCCTGGAAAAACTAGAGATATTTTCATGATGAAGGTGCACTTGGCATGGGGTTCAAAGGTTTCTTGGCAGTCACCAGGACCACTAGGTTGGGAAGGGTATTCCTGGCAGAGAATAAAGAAAAGAGGGAAGATGTTGATACACTTGAGGAAACTCAATAGACCAGAGCTCTAAGGTGAGTGCTTTGGAGAAAGTTAGGAAGAGCAGGCAGTAATGAGAGATGGATTTGTGAAGGTGGGCAAAGGTCTTCCTTGCCTTTCATACTACAAAATTTAACTTTCATCTGACTAGTGATATTTGAGACTTTGAAATGTTTTAATAGGCTAATGACATGCTCGAACTAGCTCTTCAGCAGCTGAATGGAAGCTGGAGGGAGAGAATAGTCCAGAAGGTAGAAGGCACGGCAGTGAGTCCTCTTAGGGCCTCAGCTAAGGCAGAAGAAGCCCTGCTGTGGAGAGTGAAATGGATGTAAGCTGGCTGATGGGATATGGAGGGAGGAAGAGGAATACAAAGCAGAGATGATGAGCTTGAGGAGTCTGACAAGGCAGCACGGAGTAGTGCAATCGGAGCGGGAGGCTACATAATCCTGGCAACCTAAGGAGACCGTTGGCACTTCAGCTTTTCTAGAACATAGTTACAATAAACAGCTACCTTTCAAGTAGGGTGTTTGTGATTTTTCTGCTACCCAGAATCCAGCCTACCTTCTTTGGGGCTTTAGCAAGGGTGCTCTTCCTTCCCTTTTCTAGCTGAAGACTAGATATATGATCCAAGATTTGCCAATTTGGTTCCCCATCTCTAAAATTCGAATCATGAGCAAAAGAATAAAAAGACTGAAATCAGAGTTTCCTGCGTCCTAGATACACTGTCCCGTGAGACTTTCAGGTAGTTCCTGCTCCCAAGACAGATCTCTGAGTGCCTGGTTGTGCTGCTTCACCCTTCCTTCCTTCCTAACAGCCTCCACCACCCCTATTTCCTTCCAGTAAATTCCCTTCAGCTTAAATTAGGTGCAGTTGGTTTCTGTTACTTCTAACCTATGAATCCTAATGTATTGAGATGCTATTCATTGTGTAGTACACAATCGATAAATGTTAGCTCCCACTCTCTTCCTGTAGGACCGGTAAGTTATGTGGTCAGCAGTCAGGAGTGAAGTTTGAGAGTAATGCCTGGCTCAGGAATGTAGATTTGGGAATCATTGGTGTGAACATCATATACATAGAGAAATTGTCCAGTGGAAGTGTGAAGAATAAGGAGCAATGGAAGCTGAAGGCAGGCCTTGGGGAGGATGTTCCTACCTTGGAGTAAATCCTGCTGTGGGTTCCCTGAACAGGTGAACTCAGCAGCCACTGCAGCCTGGAATCTGGTGCTCAGAGAGGCCAGGAAGCCAAGCCCGAATCCTCATAGAACAAGGCCTGAACTTGGGACTACTACTTGTTAATTTGGCAAAAAAATGTGGGGAGCAGGGAGACATTCTAATAGAGAGCACCTCCCAGATTTAAGGACAAGGTCTCAAAAGAGAGGGAAGATCATCTTTCCAAGGCAGAGCCGAAGGCACTGACTCATTGAATATACCAGGAAGAGAATAAATTGGCTTCTCATTTTACTGTTCAATAATTATAAAGAATATTTTTTTGATAATATTTTAATAAGATGCTTAACAACCCCAAAAGCTTTCTCCTTAAGCCATGGAAAATCCCAGTACCTCTCACAGTAATTCACAATGCCTTATCGTTCAAGAGGGCTGCTTCTAATGACCTCCTGACCATTACTCGCTGCCCAAGTAACTTGACCCTTCCCTCCTTTCTGTTCAATCAGTACATATTCCTGCTACAGCAGCAAGCATGCTAGTCAATAAATCCTGGTGACTTTGAAAGAAAAACAAGTCAACAACAGTTGATTTAGACAAATTTAGAATGAACATGTTAATTTTCTAAGAATTATCTTCATTCATTGGTCAAAGTTCAGTCAACTTGACTAAAATGTTTAGAAAAATGTCACCTATTGTTAATGCTTCATGTATGTTGTAAGCAATTTAATGTTCATAGAAAACATGACAAGGATGGTCAAGACAACTGTGTCACAATGTAAGCACAGGTTCACATATCAATAGGCCACAGAACTAACTTTGCAGACACAGAGAAAACAACACATAATAATAATCAAAATGTGTTTATGAAGAATGGGTCCTCTGTATCCCCCTACCAAGAATAGATTATCAGAAGGAAATTCTTAATGCAACAGAATCTCTGGCCCCAGCTCCTACCAAGGCTGAATTCTTTACGAAGACACCATGACTGATCATAGCAAGGACGAAATACCTCTGCATAGTTTGTCTGTTGGCACACTAGTCAGGTAAAGGCTTTAGTCGAAGTGAAATTATAAATTTACTAGCTTTGCCTTTGTTTCCTCCAGCCTCTCATTTTTCTTCTCTCCTCAGCTTTCTCTCCTCCTGATCTTACGCCTCCTGGGTTGCCTTCTTGACTGACCAAGTCGGGATGTGTCTGATACCAGCATCTGGTCTATGATGGAAACTCATTTATACCAGTGTTACTCCATATGCATTTTCTCTTTTGAGTCTGTATCTCTACTTTAAGATGAAAAGATGGCCTTATATTGAAGGTCAAGTGAAAAAGAAATTCTTGAGCAGGAGTGGAAGAAAGGCCATCATGTCTTTTAAACACAGAGCCTAACTAAGAATGCCAAAAAGAAAACCCAAAGTCAGTTTCTTTAGGGCAGTGGTTCTCAAAGTGTGTTCCCCAAATCAGCAGTAGCATCAGTGTTACCTGAGAACTTGTTAGAAATAAGGACTCTCAGAACCCACACCAGATCTACTGAAGGGGAAACTCTGGTGGGGAGCCCAGGAATCTGGGTTTTATCAAAGTCTCCTGGTGGTTCTGATGCCTGCTCAGTTTGAAAACCACTGGCTTGAGGAATCTAGTGGGCTGGGGCCCTTGGGGTGAGTCCCTCCTTTCTCCATTTACTTCTAGAATTCAAGAAGCCAGGGCCTATCTAGAACTGTGAAGGAACCAAGATTTTCCCCTACTTACAAGCAAACAACTTAGCCCACCATGGTTTCATGGAGGCTGGCAGAAGACATGAGTCTTGCGGGTCAGAGACCCATGGTCGCTGTGACTCACAGCACAGCAGCAGCATGAACCGCACACCTTCCTCAGTTTCTAATGATGTAATAATTGGGTCATTGACAAATATAGGCAGTCTCTAAATTATGCAAGTTTGCTAATTAAAGTCTCTTTGAACTTTGCACATACAGTTGACCCTTCAACAACATGGGTTGGAACTGTACAGGACCACTTATACATGGATTTTTTGCAATAAATCTATTGGAAAATTTTTTGGAGATCTGCAACAATTTGAAAAAATATTTTCTGTAGCTTACTTTATTTTAAGAATATAGAATATAATGTGACATACAAACTATCGATTGTTTATGTTATCAGTAAGGCTTCTGGTCAACAGTAGGCTATTAGTGGTGAAGTTTTGGGGGAGTTAAAAGTTATACATGGGTTTTCAACTGCACTGGGGTATTGGTGTCACTAACCCCCACATTGTTGAAGGGTCAGCTGTATTTACAAATGCAATGTTTTAAGACTTCTTTAGGGTTGTTAGAACCTGCAGGTAGCAAGGTGCCATAGTAAGGAGTCTCCTAAGTGTTTGATATCTTATCAAAGCTTTTTTGGCTTTAACTAATAGAAACCCACTTAGGAAACCTTAAGCCAAAAAAGGATGACTCACGGAACTCTGAGGAAAAAAATGTGCCTGGATCTCAGGAGGAAAGAGATCCAACAAATGGGAAGCTGCCATAGATGTCTTTTGGTGTCTCTCCAGGACCATGTTGCTTCTCTTTCATTCTTTCTCTTCCACAATGGTTTCCCCTGCTTTCCTGTGTCCTTGGTAGTCGCTTTCTAAATGAAGCCCTCAAAAATGTACCTCTTCCTAGGTCTTTTGGTGCTAAAGACAATGGCATACCTCTGTGTCTCAACTCCAAGTTTCCAGAACAGAAAGCCTTGACTTTCTGGGTCAAGCTGCGTCAGGTTGCTGAGGTCTAAAGGGGTTAATAATTAACAACCCTTTTCCTTGCCTGAGCTATGGACTAATGAGAAATGAGGGAACAGGAGGTGGAGAATAAAAAGATGAGCCTAATCATTAACACATGGAACTGGAGGATGAGGCTTAGGCACAAGAGAGAGGGGACAGTGCAGCCAGGGTGTGTTTGAGTCTGCAGGGCACATCCACCCAGCCCAGTCACTGTCAGCCCTCTCTTTGGTGCAAGAGGAAAGCAAGAAGACTGTGTGGTGAACTGGTAATCTCTGGTTGCACTGATGCATTTATTACCACTTACCTTTCTCCCATACCTAGTACAAATATGCTGAAGGGGCAAAGGTCATAGGAGGGAGAGGTTGGTTTCATTTACCTTAAGGTACTAGATGTTTTAAGTTGATTATAACATTTCCATCCTGTTTAAAAATGGCTCACAAAGCAATTTTGACTTTTACTTAGGATTTGGATCGAAATCTGAACCGACTCACAGCTTCATTTGAAAAAGCAATAGCTGAGAAAGTTCGATGTCAAGAAGAGGTGAACCAAACCAACAAAACTATTGAACTAGCTAACAGACTTGTCAAGGAGCTTGAGGCAAGTTACCTTTTTCTTCCAAAATTCCAACTAAAATACTCAGATTGGCTTTTTGAAATTTTTTCTTTATTTGCTGTCCATATAACTAAATAGACCTGGAATCAACAACCAAGGGGAATAAACATCATTCATACAGTAGTTCTAACTTAACCAAAAGGAAGAAGTGATAGAGTCTGTGTATTTTTTAGTAGATAGCCATGAACCCAGTGGTTCTCCTAAAATACATTATATGCTCAGGACAGTTATTAGCAACTGTGGTATTGAACTATTGTCTGATTCATTTAACATATATTTGCAATTGAGTTCTACCAAGAAAACCTCACTTCAATCTAAGCCTGCTTGGTTTATTTTTTTCTGTGACATCTTTTTACAGGTGACTAACATGCTAATGTTAATAGTTACTCCATTAAAGAATTTTTAAATAATTCTTAGTAACTTCTCTTTGAACATGAGTGGTAGAAGAACTTAAAGCCCTTGACATCAGTAAGTCACGGAGTTTGTTTGCTCTCCCATGTGTAATGTATTCATACCATGGAATATTATCTGACTATAAAAAAGGTTGAAATATTGATACATGGTGCAACAGGGATGAACCTTGAAAATGACATACTAAGTGAAAAAAGATACGCTAAGGGCCACATATTGTATGATTCCATGTCTATGAAATGTCCAGAATAGGAAAATCTATAGAGATAGAAATTAGCAGTTGCCAGGGGCTGGACGAAGGTGCAGGAATTTGGGTGACTGCCACTAGGTATAGAGTTTCTCTATTGTATGAGAGAAACATTATAAAATTAGTTGGGATGATCTCACCAGTCTGTGAATATACTAAAAACCATTTGTGTACTTTAAAGGGTGTATTTCATGATGTGTGAATTAAATCTAAAAAACTTGGTTATTTTTATTTAAGTGCTACCTAAAAACATATAACTACACTATTAGAAATGCATTTAGCAGAAGATGATAGAATAGTTGATTTATACTGGCATAAACAAATGGGAGTTCATTTTTCACATACTATAAAAAATTCCAGAGGTAGACCATTATCAGTGTTGATTCAGGTAATTAGTGACCAGACCCCTAACTTCTTTGTACCCCTCTGCTGCTCCACACTTACTCAGCAGGTGGTTGTTCACCTTCATGCCTTTCGCAGAATGGTCACAGATGGACTGTCCCTTCAAGTTCAGATGAGAGTAAAGTCTGTAGCAGTTGGATTTTTTCTTTATAAGAAAAACTGAAGTGTTCCTGGAATCCCCTCTGGCAGACTACCAATTAGATTTCTTCAGCCAGAACAAGATTGTCCACATCTAGCTGCAAAGAATGCTGGGAAAATGGGAAATTAGTTATTATGATCGGCTTAGCCAATCACCTGCTGGACACATTGCCACTCTTCTCAAAATCAGAATTATCTTAGCAAGGAAGGAGGGAGAAAGGTGTGTTAGGATGGGCTGGGCTGGGCCATGGCTTAACTTCTTATGAATAGGGTAGACTTTAAAAATCTAATTTAAACTTACTACAAATTAAACCCATCATCCTTTGGAAACTCATAGCTCATTATACATAAACTCATAGTTCATTCTGCAAACTACTCTCTCCATTCCTTCTCAACAATTGCAGTCTGATATTCCAGTTGTTATGGACAAAACTCTGGACTCATCCCCGAGTTTTGCTCTGTTTCTCAGAGCCTATACTCAGTCCATCAGCAGAGTGCATTACCCTCAAGGTCTGCCCTGAATCATGGCATTCTGACCATCTTGGCCTCACCACGCTGGTCCAGGCTCCCACCATCTCTGCCCTGGAGTACCACCCTGGCCTCCATCATTCCCACCCCCAGAGTCCACTCCCCTCACTGCAGCTGAGTGATGTTTAAAAGCTAAGTCCATTCCTGTCACCACTCTCCCAGAATTCCCCAGTAACTAATCATCTAACTCAAAGTGCATTTGACAGGCTCTCCCCGGACTATAAGACCCTACATGATCTCACTCCTGGATACCTCTCTGTGCCCCCTCTGCCACCTGCCCTCTTGCGCCATCTTCACTGGCCTCCTTGTTCTTCTTCATGCTGCCAGCCACTCTCCTACCTCTTGGTCTTTGCCTTTCTCCTGCTCATGGCTTCCTCTTTCCAAGACCACGACATTGCTGACTCCATCACTTCCTTCAGAGCTCTGCTAAAGGTACTCCTTGTCACGTGGTTTTCTCTCACCTCCCTACATAAACGAGTATTCAGCCTGCTTCCACTCTCAACACACACCACTCTATAGCTGTCTGTCCACTCACTCTGCTCTATTATTTTGTCATAGCATTTATCAATACATGACACACACACTTACATGTGTACATTTGGAATACATATATGGGTTTTTTTCAGTCTTTTTCCCCTAACTAGAATATAAGCTCCTCAAGAAAAAGAGCTACATCTGTTTTCTGCACTACTTAATCCCAAGCATATAGTCCCTGGCACATGTACACCTATGGGCATTGTCAAGTGAATCAGTGGGTGAGTTTGGGAGCCTCCTGTGTTTAAGAAAAAGTTCCAGAGCCCTTTGAAGACTCATTATTCTTAGGTCAGTTGAAAGATTCCACTGCTGTTAGTGAAGTTTACACCCATTCTCATTGCAAGTGATACGATTTAAGCAGTTTGAGGTGTTTACCATTTGTAAAGTACCTGAGGAAAAGATAAAGTGCCATTTAACTAGACTGTTTTCCTGAAGTAGTTCTAGAATATGTGGAAGTTTTATCAAGAGGAAAATAGGCTCCACCATTTGTCTCTAAAACACTAGCAATATCTTCCAAAGGCTTTCCTTACTCTTAATGATTTAGACAAGAAGAAGAAAAAAAGGTTCATAATGTTAACTAGCAATATATATATATATTTTTTTTAAAGGATTAATTGGAGATGTCAGACCTTTTCCTTTGAGGATAAATTCTTTCTGACTAAAACAAGAGACAGTTAACTTCTGAAAAGCATCAAGACTGATGATTTTGTCTATATAGCATTGACCTGGAAGCTATAGTCTCAACCATTCAGACTAATAAATCAGGCAATTTATATTTAATCATTAACTAACTCCTGAGCTGAACAGCTGTTCAAAATTAGAAATGGTTCACCCCAGCCAGAATGACATTACAGGCAATCTATAATGCATTAGAATAAAATTATAGTGATTTTTAACTGTCTAGAAATTTATTACAGGACATGTTCCATCTCTTAAACCCTGGTTAGCCAGTGTCAGTAATGATTTATGTAGCATGGGTGGTATAGTGAAATTATTGATGATTTCAATAGCCAATAAGTCTATGTTTAGTAAATCTTCACATTTCAAAGCTGTTTTTGGAGAACGAGGTGGGTGCACTTTATTGTTTATCATTTGCTAACCAAAGACAACAAAGATGGAGGGAAGGCAAATAGGAGATTCTTCTTCAAAATTAATGGATATATTGTCTATAGCTGAGGAGGGAAAGTAATGAATTTCCATACAGAGGGCTAGAGAGCCAAAGTTCCTTCATGTTCGATCACATAGCTAACTTGCGGTGGTCTTTATCAAGCGAAGCAAGGAAGCTATCTTCAACTAGCTTTGAGAGCCATTGTCACCTGCTAATTCCATGACCTTGGTATAGTATTATGATGGCTTGCAGGGAACTGGCATTCCAGGTGATCAGACATTTATCAGTTTTGCTTTCTGTCTCCTTTCATGAGAAAAGCTAAGTTCCCCAGGGCTCTTTTTTGCCGATTATACTGTCAAATTGCTGATTTTTTTTCAGTTAATTTGATGTTCTTGGAATGTGATATTAATGTATAGCATGTATTGAAACAAAGTGAATTAGTGAACTATCCTGCAGTTCAGCCAATCTGTAGATATTTATAGCAGTTTTATTCAAATTCAATATTAAGGACTCTACATACTTAACCTGGAAATCAGATTTTTAAATGGCCATACAGGACTTCAGCAGCATTCTTTGAGCATATTGTCTTCAGGGCTAGTAAAATCCTCCTGCTGTCCATCTTTTTAAACAGGCTACAGTTTCTTCCAGTGCTGGAGTGATTATATGAGAAAAACAACCCAGAATGGGTAACTACCAGCACTATCCTTTAATAAAATCCAGGATAGGTAGCTCTTTAAGCTCTATGCTTTAATTAATTAATATGAGTGGTGGTTGTCATGTTCCCTCTTCTGTAAACAGCCAATAGCCAGTAGTTTCAAACAATGTTTGCTCAGGGCATGTAGCAGTATTGTTGAAAAGCACAAGGAATAAAGAGCAGCCAAGCTGCCATTAAAAATCCTA